CGCATAATTCGTGTTTTTTTCCCATGTTATACCATTTTTTAAGATGACTTGCCTTCTACTAATGTTTTTTGTGGTCCATTGACTGTTTTTTTGATCAAAAAACGCTCCCAAACATGCTTATAATTTTCCGAATATAGTTTTGTTTTCGTGGGCTTCACAAATGTACCAGGCGTTCAAAATTTCATCAGAAAAGAGTCTGGGCACTAGCATTACTGGTCACCCTGTGCCTTACTAGATCACGTGACAAATTCCAATATGGCGTATGATACAAGTGAGATGTAAAGCGTGCGAGAACGAAAAAGTCTAAAAAGATCTTTCCTTCTGTTGGTACTGCCTTCTGTACTTCGTAACTAAGATAAAAACGGAGTTTTGCATGAAAAACAAACACAATAACCTAAATATATGTAAAATTTCCCAAAGTTTACGTTCCTGTGATGACGTCATCCCGCATAATTTTCCGCATAATTCACCCTTTTCTCCGCATAATATGGGGAAAAAATTCCGCATAATTTTGATTTTTTTCGCGCATAATTCCGACATGCCTGGCTATAGAATAAACAACACATTACTCAACCAATAACAGAAAAAACATGTACATATAAAAATTCTTATTTTTGTACCATGACCTGTGTCCCTCAGGGCAGTTTTTGGCAAGTGACTCAAGCACACTAAAAGAAACTAGACCAACCAATGGTGGCTCATTCTGAAGACACAAAGAAAATCATTACTCCATGGTAAGATTCTGGTGATCGATATGTGTTCGTGATAATGTGACTTTGTTTGCTCAAAGGCTGAGTCGTTCAAAGCCCAATTTCTGTTAATCCAAGCTTAACATCCAGTATTTTGAATACAGCAAAATGAGTGAAGTCCAAGCAAGGAAGGCATTGCCTGCGATAAGTTTGTTTTGGTAACATTTTAAGGTTAACCGAGAATTAAGTATTGATTGGACTTTGAGTAATCTGGCCCAAGGCAAAGTCAATCAAAACATGTTAACTTACAGGATGAGGGACTGCAAGTTTGAAAAGTAAGCCAAGCAACTGAGACTTTTCATCTTGAGCCCTTCCATTTGATGTACCTACACTATTCTATTAAAGAAAAAAAACAATCAGGTTTTGAACTCACTTTTCACATTTTACAATAAATGGACACTCTGTACAGTTGTTCATCGATTGGTAAAATGTATATGGTACATGTGAATTACTCCAAAAAAAACACTATTTCAAAGCAAACCTGTGCAGTTCTATCTGTTGTCTCTTGTTCCCTTTGTGGCACCTGAACTGAATTCAACAAAACTTSCCGGACTTCATAACTGTATGAAACTAAAACATCTAAGCACCTCAATGACTGTATAGCACCATCAAACGCCAGTGAAAGTGCAACTACKGATTCTTTGTCTTTCATTTCAGAAGCATCCACAGGGCTGGATGGGCATGTGCTCATCAGGTTGTCCTCATCTTTATCAGCACGCAATTCACTATATTGTGATATGTGGTGCTCCAAAAGAGGCAATAAACTAACAGCACTTTTTAAACTAAAGGAAGAATCTAGAATATTGGAGGCTTTGAAATTATTGACAAGTTGTAAATAGTTATCATCCTTCTTAGGAAAAAGTAGGTTTGTGTTGACCATTTCCTGAATACCTTCAATTGCTTGACAAACCTCTTGACTGTCTGATTCTGAGCTCAAAAGAGCTGAGTTTAATCCTTGCTCAATAACTGCATTTTGTAAATCAATATTGTCTCCTGTTTTTGTGACCCCTGTTGTGGTAGCATTCARATTTAACCTCAATAAGGGTAAKAAGCTTTGATTAAGTGGAGAGGCATCATATCTTATACAAATGTCAGTTAATTCAGTGTTGGGCAATTTGAAAAGTTTCTGTGCAACTTCAACATTTGATGCTTTGTCTGAAACAACCTGTATCCTCATCATTCTCTTTTCTGCATTCTGACTTGACAATTGCTGGTTTTCAACTGGTGTAGTTYTATGATTATGATGTTTTTCTGGTGACTGTTGCAATTTAGTGGCTTTTCGTACTTTTGGWGACCTAGAATCTGTTGAACTCCTCTCAAAAAATGATTGACCAGTAGGAATTACAGAACTATTTAGAGGTTTATTTGGTTTGTTTCTCTTGGGGCTTTCTATGCTATTCTCATGATGCTTAACTATGGCTTGCCTTTGCTCCTTTGCTTGTTTTATTTCTTGTTCTTGAAAACATATCTTRGAGTTCAATTGCTCCATAGTCTTGGCATGAMTTTTCTGAAGCTCCTTAATTTCAGCTCTTTTTTGCTCCTCTACATTTCTCAACTTTTCTTTATTTCTAACTTCTTCAGATTTCAAATGTTCAAGAGAATCTTGCAACATTTTTAGATTGCCATCTTTTTCATAATTATTTTCCTCCAAGTCTTTGATTCTCTTCTGRGTTCTTTGTAATTCTTCCTGCAATTCTTTGATTTGTCTCTTGTATTTCTTCTCATCTAAAAATTTATCATTTGCGATTGCAAAGCAACTATTATTTGCTTTATTACTGAAGCTACAACTTGTACTAGRGAACTGATTTGTTGAGCAACTTTCAGCAGAAAACAGGACTGCAGTTTTGTCAGTGGGAATTTCTTCAACTTTTACTTCAGTTCCATTCCCTTTAGATGTGAATGGAATATACGACCCATTCTGTCCAGTTTTGACAAGCAAAGTTTCACTCCCAGCTAAATCCAAATCTTGATCAAAATCTCCAAAATAATCTTCTTCCAATCCATTACCGACTTTTTTTGGTACATTTGTTGCAATCTTTGTGTGATTGACAGAGAGAGCTTGGGTATAGGCCTGTTGTTCGGTTTGTTCCGCCACTTCGCAGAGCTGTTCTGCAGTCAAATCATCACCAAAATCATCAAGAACATCATCTTCGAATGCGTTAATGGGCAAATCACTGCAAAGTTCTTCAGCGGCTTGTCGMTCGCTTCTAGATTTATCGTAYAAACTGTACGAACTTCTCATCTTTTTCCTTGGAGAGGAYTAAGCGCTAACATMCATTTGAGTTGTCGYCAAATTTCCACCMAATTTCTGYTCTTTTGGGACTGGATTCTTGTTCTGGGCAGTAGATTTGTAAATAAAGTTCCTCTTCTTTTGCTGCTTAAAGCCATCGTTGCAATTCCAATTCGCCATCAAGTCAAAATAACAATGTTTTTGTATGAATTATTTTGATCGCAAAGGAATCCATTACATACATCCATGTCAGATTTGCCGCGCTGCTCGCGCAAAGGAGTATGGTATTAGCTCTAGTGTGCAGTGCATTATGGGTAATTTTAATTAAATTTCGTCACAAAGGAAGCGCACAAATCCGAAAAGAAATGCATGCAACCAAAAGAGGGAGAGAGAAAAAAGTTACAAATGCTATGAATACTCTGAAAATGAATGTAAATTTTGTAAAGAATGAAAGATAATCTTGTGATTGTTAAGTTAAACGGAGTTTGCGGTGAACAACTGATCAACAAAAAAGTGAATTTGGAGTTGAGTCGAGAGCCGAGCGCAGCGACGAAACTGGAGGAAGAATGATACATGTATTCCCAGAAGAAAACAGAATAAAACCAACGATGTTGGAGTATTAGTCGATCGAATAAAGGTAAGCAACCAAGAGCTAAAATTTATTTAGAAGACTTCAAAACCACCCAACAAATCCATTGAGGGGAATTCCATTTGCTTTAAAAAAGTTTATTCGTCCTTTTTATTTTCGTTGTCTTCGTTAATAAAAGAGRTTTCAGTTCCTTGCAACAGCTTATTTGCCCTGGCAATCATGAACTCATCCACTGTCTTTTCGGCAACTTGACAAACTTTCTTCGCTGCATCCGAAATCACTCCYTTCACGTATTCTCTGTGCTTCAAGAAGAATGGCCTTACCACTTTAAAATACATAAAGCCAGACCCACTACATTTACCAGGAGCCATGCACCACGCGAGAAATAGAAACTTCAGCAAATTGTAACTCGGCASCCACGAGATAAACATCTCCAAAAAGTTGATACACGAAAAAATCACCCAATACATCAGCCACTTTGTGTCGCTCTCGAAGGCGGGGTTTTCGATGGCAGTTATTGAAGCYAACATCGGTAGAAGCAGTGATAAAATATTGCACAGCAAAGCAGCTGCATATCCRTCTACGAGATACAGAAGAACAAGAAYAGCAACAGCTAARACTTGCACACGTCTTGGAATGAGAGTTGCGATTTCTATCTTTTTCAACAAATCAGTGAAGACATTTTTGTGCGCTAGAAAGCTATCCAGTTCCTCCAGTAAATATGCAAGACCACCGTCTTTCTTTTCCTTTGTGTTTTTAGTACTTGTCGATGCTGAAACTTCCATGTTATCATCATTTTCATAAGCAGGAAAGATGTCTCGAAAGAATTTCATTGTCATTGAGTAATTTCATTGCATGGTAAAGGTAACCGTTTACTTTAAACTGTTGACATCGCCAAATCCTTGCGCTCGCGCGAAAATACTTTTGACGCAAATGCGCGACGCTGACACAAATGCGTCGTACGTGTTTACGTAAAGGTTGATGTAATGAGCATCATAAGCAGCATTGGTACATAACGGGCAAGTACTGTGATTTTCGTGCCATATATTTTTCTTTTATTAATGATTACTACTGAACCACAAATACTTTCAACGATTTTTATTCACTATTCTGAAAGAAAAGCGACTATTTAGCACTTGTTGATAAAATACATGCAGATAGATTCACAAGTTTGAAAATGTCTT